ATTAATAAATTATCTCTTTACATATAAATTTGTTTGAAAGAATAATTATTAATAAAAATAATGGGATTTTTTTCTTGTTCACGAACATCGTACAGGGATCCATTAATTGTAACTACGTCGCTGCGAACTTCGCGACATTGTGGCTGTGCATCCGGATAAAAATAAAATTTGATCGGCACTCCATGTTTTGCGAGAGTACCATTCGTCTCGCTCGCGTGCGAAAGCGTGTAATCACGGGAAACGAATCGAAGTAGCTGCATCCCTGACCTTAGATCGAGCCGGTCGGTCTCCAAACGATTACAGCCCAAAATTATACTGGCTCTGACGAAACGGACCGAGTAAGACTTGGCGGCCGTGCCAATAAACGATATGTGTGTGCGTTAATGTTTTCGCAAATTTATTCCTGCCGCGCGGAGCTCAACGAACGCGAATCGGCACGAAAATCGGAATATATGCTTTTAGAGAATAGCCCCGTGACACGACATTGCAGGATCGATTGTGTAAATAGAGAATGATTTTATCCTAAATATATATGCAAAAGAGTTGAAAAGCAACGAGATTGAAAACGGTGGAATAAGCATTCCACTCGCGTCTTAACGAATTCCCAAAGATAATCCACATTATGGACTGACAATGAGATCTTTTCGAATTTATCGGGCATTTTTGTAACGCGATCACGGAAGAGAATGGGAAGAAATCTCTCGTATCGCGCCCATGACCATACCTAATGCTGAGCGTCGTCACCGGAGAATCTATAACGTTTGGTCAAGGTGGAGAACAAAAGGGGATAAAGTTTAGACTAGGGCACGGTTACCAACAGATGCCGGACATATGCAGAAAAGAAGCAACGTACATGTGTACGTGCACGCTACGCGTGTACACGTATTATTGCACGCGCATGCAAATTCCCCTCGAAATCAAAAGCCTCTTTTTAAACCATTCAACTGGCCAACTAACTTAAAAAAGAGGGAGAGATCCAATCTTTTACCCCGAGTTATGCTATTAATAATTGTTAAACATCGAAAAAATGTTGGACTATTAAATTTTTTATGTGATTAATAGTACTTTTTATATTCAAAATAAAGGCAAAAGATCTGATCATGCGATGCTCATTTGAATTCACTAGCTATTGATATAGAAACTCACATTGCAGTCTACACGTTATAATAAAATAGCCAAGCAAATATTAAATCAGTATGAGATAAATACTAGGATTGTTCAAAGGGATACTAAAAAATGCGAAAAATACGCCAGTCACGTGGCGGACCCGTGAATCATTCCTGTCGACAAACGCAAACCTCACCCTCTTTAGTTTAGTCACAATCCAGCTGTCGAAGCTACGTTTTCGGGGGTAGACCCTCGGCATCATCGATCTGGCACGGCGGGCACGAGTATAATTCTATACGGGGCTATACCTCGGGAACAATAATTCCGTCCGGCAACTTTTTCTGGGGTCATCGAACCTTTAACGAGATTCCGTCGATACCTCTGGCTCGAAATCGATTTGGCCTTACATCGGTAGAACAAAGTTATTTAAAAGTACCAAGAACACACTCGCGCATGAATATAGTATCACGCAAAATGTTTATTGATTTAATAACAAGATAGTTTAGTTTCTATTTCTGTAGACGTAATTATCTTTCCGAGAATATAAATATTTGTATGTAATTGATATTTAAGATCTAAAAATATTTTATTTGCATAATTTGTTTTAACATTTACAAGCATCGAGTTCCACGAAGAAAACTGTAGGATAAACATTATGGATCGGTAAAGATATTTTAGTCGCGTTGATATCGATCGAAAGATTATAAAAATATAAATACATAATAAGAGTAGCCTGCTGAGTTTGCAGAAAAAAAATAATAATTACTACATTCTTGCGATTAGATTAGAATTTTTTTTTTTTTACTTGATGCGTGTAAGTAAACAACTATATAAATATATAACTAGCGAAGAAGTTTTAACATCGGTTATTAGCGAAAGTATTTAGAGTATTTAGATACCGTACAAGTTCTATAACAGCATGTTAAGAGAACAAGCAGTTTTTTAGCTTTGACTTTCTGCATCATTTTTACTTCGCTAGTCAAATTCTGCATAATAAATATAAAGCATTTAAATATTTATAAAATGAAATTATTTTAATAAAGAATGAGAATAAAATTGTTTTGACATTTGTGATATATTTAAATGTCTAAACTCTGTTTCTAACTTTAAAATTAAAATTTTGCACTCTGAAATATTGAAAAATTTTTTTGCATTTTTTTCTCAGCAAAGGTTCATTAATTTATGCAACATCGTGCAACGCCAAGATTACATCTGGTTAATTTCTCGCTCATTTTCTTGCGCGAAAGAAATCGTCGGTAAAGCATGAAGTGTATGCTTTAATTAAAACCGCAATATATTCAGGAGTAACTTTATGTGATTAGTCACGGACACGATTTGGCATTTATAATAGACGACTTAATTTGATAATTGCTGATAATTAAGTTTAATTTCAATTAAGTTTAAACTTAATATATCATATCCTGCGTAAAAATAACTTGACAAGGACTAAATTATTCCTTTCTTTTTGTTTACTTGTCCGTAATTCAAAATTCTCGGAGCGTTGTTAAATTCAGCGTATAATCAATTGAGTATATATGAGACGTGATAAATTAATTTTTCAATAACCATGCGAATTCATCGGAAAGCAAGCAAGTTGTGCGAGCGATTGCGTAAATTCATTATATATTTCATGTTTCGAGCAACACACGATTACGTGGTCGTCGTACACCCGCGACATGCTATGTCGTATCAAATATATACGCACGCACTTACATATGTATGCGCGTACATCACGAATGCGTACGTGCGCGTTTCTGCAAGGCAATATTGTACATACAATGCGTGGGAAGCATCGGAGAGAGATAGAGAGAGGCGCGGAGAAGCTCCATTGATTGGTCGGTGGCACGGTGGAACATTGCAGCTATCCTGGGGGTATATGAACCCCGATATATATACGCTCTTCTCTCTCCGTCATCCCCTTTCTCGCCCCCTTTTCCTCTCTCTTTCTCTCTCTCACTCTCTCATACTCGTCTCTCGTTTACCCTCGCTACGATTTTACCCCGTGGTAAAACGCAGGCGCATCACATGGACCCAGGAACGATCAATACGAGGTTCCCCAACCAGACCTAGTCTCTCTCTCTCTCTTTCTCTCCCTTGCTCTCCGTTTCTATTTCCGTCTCTTTCTCCGTCTCTCGTGATTCTCGCCACCATCTTTTAGCCATCCTTTGCAAAATCGCGGCCAATCTTTGATATTTTGGCGTTGGTCCGAAAATTCCGCGTCGTACGGCATGAAAAACGAAGCCGAATTTGTTATCAATCGTGAGTGACGTTTCTCTTATATTTTTCATTCATTCTCGTTGTCCTTTGCACAATTTTTTTTAGCTCAAGAGTATTAAATTATATTTAAAAACTGATTATTAAATATCTTATCAATATATTTACACATACATGAGATTTGAAACTCGAATCTCGCACGAACAAATCTCATCATGTGATTTGTTCTCCTAAAAAATCGAAATCGAATATGGCGTTCGTGTTTAATTACCTAATAGCTTGGTAAAAAAAAAAAAGCAAGCGATATCACATCTTCACCGGCTTTTATCGTCTAACTCTCCCCCTCTTTGGCTCACGCACCATTGTAATCGAGGCCGTCGCGGACGGAAGTGTCCCTCTCGAGACATCCTGCTTGTCCTCGACAAGGACCCGCAGTGCCGGTCCCCGCTCCATTCCGGATCTGCTTGACGCTTCATCATGCATCGCGAAAGCTCGACGTCCTCGCTACTGAGCTATTTCAATTTGTCGTTTTTCGGTCGGGGTACGTTGCGGGATCGATAAGGGGTTGGATCGAGAAAGAGAGAAGCAGGAAGTTGTATGCGTATGTGTTTATGCGTATTGGGGTTGCGTGTACTTGCGTGTGTGTATATGTATGTATGTGTGTGTGTGTGTGTGTGTGTATTGCGACGTGGTGCTCCCGCGACAGTCGCTTTCTGGTGCCACGCCCAGAGGGAGAGAGAACGATCTGGTGCACACACAATATTACGCCGTGGTAAGCGTCAGCTGCTGGACGCGATGGTTTTGCGATGGTTATGGCGGCTGATCGACGTTAAATGCAACAACTTTGCCTTGTTAATGAGCCCCGGCGTTTAATAAGTTTTTATCTCCGAACGCGCTCCTTGCATGAGATCACGCAATTGTTTTCCACACGGCAAGGTTCGCATTATAATAAAATATCGTGTATAAGAATGACGCTTTAAGCACTTGTAATAACACTTCTCGATCGCAAAGAATTATAATTTTGATAAAATAATAAAAATTGTGATTTTTTACATCATAATTTTCTATAAATTTCTGTTATAATTTATTCTATAAATTTGTAATATCATTACAAGGCTAATTTATTCTAAAAGTATTAATCGTGATTAATTATGAAAGAACATCATGATCGTAATGACAATATATATTATATATAATTTTGTCTTAATCGCGATCTATATATTTGTCATTCTTATGGAATATATTTTTCTAACAAGTATGCAATTTTCATTTTAATTCAGCCTGCAATATATTTATATCATAAATTTCCCGCGATTTTACTTTATATTTTTTATTCATATTTGTGTTACAATATTTATAAAAAAATTCGGAAAGACGTAATTAATAAAAATTGCGAAGGCGAATCACGGGAGCACCACAAGGAATTTTTGGAAAGGTCAACCTAAGTGGTACCGGAAGTTTCCTCGCATGAGGATCTCCAGTGCAGAGAACGAACGTATACGTAAAGATCGACAGCCGATCAGTGTACGATAAACGTACGCAAATCCGCTGATGAATAGTCAATAATTATAACGGCAATAATAACAACAATAATATAACAAGATAATAATAACGATAATGAGATAAAGATTTGTGAAAAATTACAGAAACAAAGAAAGTAAAGAAACAAATGAACATACCGGTTAACGATGAAAATCAGTGGTTGGAGGATGCCGATATCTGGGCGCAGAACGGAACGACGATGGGTTTTATTTAATTACTTTTATTTTCTCTCTATTTATGTCCCTCTCTCGATATTTATCTCTTTTTATCTCGATCACGATTTTAAACGCGTGTGCGTGTAATATCTTTGTACAATTTTCTCTTATTTTTTTCAACAAATTTCTCTATTACGACGCGAGACTTGAAACATCCGAACCGAGGGTCGCGCGACGATCAATCTGGAAGCCAGTTTCCGATCATCGAACGAGAGTTTCGACATTGAATATCGCGAAAACGCGCGAAATTATAGATCGGATATAATTGCGAGCACTTGATATATAACTCGCGACAGGAAATAAACAAATCTCGCGCGCGACGAACACACCCAGTGTCTCTCTTTCACTCCCACCCCGACCAGCGAAACGTTCTCCTATTCGTCTCTCTCTCTCTCTCGCTCTCTTTTCTCTCTTTGCCGATGTCTCTTCTGCCGATTAAAGAATCTTCCAGCTGACGATCTTGTTGCTCACGATACCGCTCTCTCCCTAACGTAATCAATTCCCATTTGATTCTCCGTTCACGATCGAATAATCTTCGAGATATCGCGACGCGTCGATCAGAGAGATCGTCGATCGAGATGGATGAACGATCGGGACACCAAAAAGTGCTCGTTGCGGCAGGACGAGTCGGGAATACGAGATGGCGGAGAACACAGGGTCGAGGATAAAATGAAATTATAAGATTGGAAGAACGCGGAAGTCACTCCTTTCTGCTTTATCTTCGATAAGCCGATTTCGTCCGGTAAACTTATCTTCCCGCACGACGTTCACGAGATCTTTTCTCTTTGCCTTGCTCTTCGCGCGATTTTTCTCGTGACGCTGTCACCCGGTGATGACAAACAGTGACGTCGCTCGATCGAGACACGTGAACGGGACAAAGCAGTAGGGGACAACTGAACGTTTAGAGGACAACAATAACGACGGCGACGATGACAGCAACGGCGACGACTGTGCTTTTGATTACGACGACGAACGATATACCGAACCGAGTGTTTTCTTCTTTTTCTTTCTTTATGCCGAATTGAAGGGTCAGAAAAATTAGGAGATATGCAAGCAAATAGTAAGAATGTTGCGGGTATAACGGTGTCTACAACGCAATGCCTTTATGTGGTGCGGTAACTAAACTGACGAGGCCGGCCTCCGATGCCGATGGCTGCACCCTCTGGACACCCGCCGCCACCCCCACCGTCTCGGCTCGTCGATGGAAGGAGGGAGAAAGGGGGGATAGACTCAGGGCGAAAAAATCGCGAAAAAGCTCGACCAAGGGAGATTGGCGACGATGTACGCAGACGCCGTCGTCGCCGTTAGTAAAAGGTGAAGGAGAAACACCGGGAGGGATGTGTGTGAGCAGTTAGAAAGAAGAGGAGAGATCGGGACGGATGCGAAGACGGAAGAAGTGCCAGGGGATGGCGACGCAGAGGAATCGGTGATGACGGTAAAAGGGTGGAAATTCGCGCAGACGTAATAGACGGCCTGCACCCTTCGCATACCGATCGTTGGGGGTTGCCTGGTTGATTCTGTGTGCGTTACCTCGATGCACATATTTCCAAACATCGCGCTGCAGCTATAGAGAGATTTTTTTCAGTCATTATGCGCGCGCGACATCCCCGTAATAATTGACGAGTCGAAAAAGAGAGGAGAGAGCTATTGATTAAAATGATCGGCCCGGGAATTACGGGAAATAACTCTCCCCCCCTCTTCGTGTCGGTCATTGCACGAATAAGTGCAGTTATACGGGGAAGGATAACTGTTCCATCGATCGGTTCATTTCGATGCCTCTCGGAAACAATCTTTAATTCGGCATCGTTATGGGTCGATGTACCTAATAATATTTTCCAGAATTAAGAGTCTTAATTTAAATACTTGAGCGCTATGCGGTTAGCTCTGAGCCGTGTCCTACGAGAATTAATATCTTATATCATTCATATGCTAGATGGAAAAAAGAGAAAGAAGGAGTATGGAAAAGAGAGAAAGAAGGAGTATATTATCGGGAGAATATATGAATAATTTAGAAATATAAATAATACAAATAACACCGTCGCGTTTATTTACGGACCGATCGATAATTATAGGAAAATATGATAGAAATGGGGTATCGCTCGTTTGGATATTTCACAGATCTCGAACATCTTCAGTGCAAGAATAGAAAAAGGTCGAGAAGAAATAACGAGAAAAATATAAAAAAAACTTAACAACAAATAAATCGAAAAATGATGATAAAATGTATACAGATCTTATTATTAGTTTACGAAGACAATAGAGTTTTAAATTAAAAAAGAAACAAAAAATGATAGAAGAGATAGGAAAAAGGGAGAAACATCAATCATCTTTTTCTCTCTCTGTCTCTCTCTCTTAAGAGAAAGAGACAGAGAGAGAGGGAGAAAAGGGTCTCTAAGACAATAGCTACCAACTTTCAAGCTGCCATCGACAGTGGTGGATTAAAAAGGGGAGATATACATGGAGTGAACTAGAAGAGCGCAAAAATTGCACTCGTTTTATTGTTAAGCAGATGAACTTTTAAAACGCAATGCAGTTTATATCAGCTGCAGCATCCATCACACGGACCAATCCCGATCGATCGGCGTGCATTACGACGTCTGATCTTCACGGGAAGTTGCCATGATTAATATCGCGAGTGCACATGAACTTTTGAACAACTGTACATTGCCTCGATTATGGTGGGGCCAAAAGAGAAAGGGGAAAGACACGGGGAGACGGACAGGGGTGAGAATAGTAGTCGACGGAAGTACGCACGCGCCAAATGGGGTTCGTGAAATGGAGGGGTTAATAACGAAAGACAGAGAGAAAGAGAGAGAGGATTGATGAAGGACCGGATAGCGCAAGCGCCGGCCGGTCAGAGGGTGGAAAAGCTCGCTCGTTCCCTCGGCAAATGGCTTTTCGGTAACGCGAACGCGGCCAAATTTTATCATACGATGCGAGAATCCCATATTCTGTTTGATCAAATGAAACTGCGCTTCTCAAAGCCTTATCGTTTATGGTGACTTTATTGATGCAAAGCTCTCGATTCGATCACGAGAAATTTTGTATGAAATACTGCGAGAGAAAGATGTAGAATCTTTTCTATTTTTATTTCATTAACTATAAAAAATTAATATGGAAAAATAATTATATAGAATATGTCTAAAAGAATCACACAAAAAATACAATTTGATTGTAAGCAAATACAAGGCGTATCTTCATAAAATTATGAAATAATTTAATGTAATAATTATAATAGTATAAAATATAATTATAAATATTATAAAATTATAATAATATTAATAATTAACAGATTATGGTAAATCTGTTGTAATCAAACATATGATTAAATCTGTTTCCATTCCATTTATGTTAAAACTTTACGCGTTATCGAGTTGATATCAAATATGTGATTTGAATTCAGTATAAATGCACAAAGTGCGTGTGTGTGTATTAAAAAATCAAATGACGTGAATGACGAACGCGCTTATCTCGCGACAGCAATCTCATCTGCGATCAGCAACCGTGAACAATAGTGTTAATATATAAAGCCTACCAATCGATTTTTTAGATGCGTAGGCTTATTTGCTTTTATACTGTTACTCGCGACGTTCGTTAACGCTAACCTTGTGGTAAACGATTTTTTAATGAGTCATGTCATTGGTAGAAACGAGAATCGATAAATATCGGATGATATATACTAATTGGTTTCGTCTGCGTCATATTTTATGTACATTTTGATATTACAAAATACGAAAGATAGACGAACGGTGCGTGGAGCAAAGAAGTCGCCACGGCGGAACAAAGAGAAAGGGAGAAAGAAAGAGAGTCACAGGGGAGAGGCAGAAAGGAACAAGGGAGACAAGGGGTGTAATCTAATGGTAAATAGCACGTATGCATATAAGGGTCAGTCGAAGTGCGTCCCAATGGCGTAGGAAACTGAATACTGATTACCAACGTATCTGAAATAGGTAATTCTTGTAAAACTCTCGGCTAAACGTATCTTATGACATGGTAAAAAAATACAGAGATATAATAAACACGGTAAAAAATAATCCAGGAAAGGAGAGTCTCTTAATAAAAGATAAAAACTTCAATTTTATAATGAAAGAGAAAGATATTATAATACATTTCAAAAGATTACGTGTTGTTAATTTATATTATTATAATAATGATCTAATATATACAATATTCCACATTTTAAAAAAGAGAGATTACCTGTTGTTTTAATTTATATTATTATAAAATAATAATTTATTATTATACATATATTTTATGCACATGCGTTTTTAAATGATGCAAAAAATCTGGCGATGAATTTAACATTTGATGCAACTACTCTTTCGTGCGTGCACGCTACATTCTATATTACATTAAATAATTAATTATTCATTTTACAATTTGCGTACTTATGCATATATTAAAAGAAAGATCCATGTAAAAAAATCTCGACATATTTATATACGTCAATTGGAAACATATAACGAGCCGATTGCGAGCAAAAAAGATTGCTTATTCTCGTACGTTTCAATCTCTCTCAACATATTTTGCTACAATTATAATCTCGAGAAATAATTTGTCAAGAGTTATCGCTATACGTTACAATCGTGACGTCTGTATTGACAGATACCGTCGTGTCGCCGGTATACCCGTCGACTCATAAAACTCGTCGATCGCCAGCGATCGATTGGCGCTGGTCGCGCCCACACCCCGCGGGTCTTAATCGCCAAAGGAGTCTAGACACCTTCCAGAGGAGGTCGCATAAATTCCGTAAGAGGACGGCGTGGCGGATAATTTACGGGCGCGCTTGTCCTCTTTGTGCTTCCGAGTGTCCTGGGGAAACCGGCGCGCCCATTCCACCCCGGGCGCGCCCCCTTCCTACGCCACTGGGAGGATAGACCGAGGGGTGCCAGCGTCAGACGGGGCCGCCGGCCGGGGTTTGGAGGGTGGGAAAAAGGGGGGAGGGGGAATTCGGGGGGGGCCTTTCGAATATCGATCTCCCCGCGCGTTCTCCCAGTCATTCACTCTCTCTTCCGTGCAGCCCCATGTCCCTCTTACCACCCGTTTCGCGCGCACCCAGCACTCTCCCGGTGAGTGGAGGGGGTCGCGAAACAGGCGGAAGAGAGAGAGAGAGAGAAGGGAGCGCTCCCGAGGGGAGCTTCGCCCGGCGGTCCCAGCCAAAGCCCGGAGGAGGAGGGCATTCACCAGGGAATGCGCCGCCACCAACTACCGTCACTACTACTACTACTACTATTACTACTACTACTACCACCACTAACCGACATCCAGAAAAATGTCCTCGGGAAATTGGTTTATCGGAACCTGCAGCAGGAACAGCAGGAA